ATGTCACTGCACTCCAGGCTGGGCAACACAGAGAGACCCTGTCTCAAAACAACAACAACAAAAAAAGAGACAGTAACCTATATTTGAACAAACACAAAAACATAAAGATATATGTCAAAAACTTGGGAATATTAACATACAATAATACTGCATTTTTATCAACCCCAATATTCTTTTGAGATTAGTCATCCCAAACTCTCATCCAAGAAATCTTTTGAGGGGCCTTTTTAAGAACTGGCTATTTGGGCAATATTTGAAGACTTCAGAAACACACACAGCATATGTACATATATATAACGTAAGACCTTCAATGGTGAGGTTCACAATAAGGTTTGCAATTTTAGGGCCAGGAAATAACATGAGGCCTGAGCCTAATGCAAATCTGAAAGCTAGGGGGAGTGGCTCATGCTGTAATCCAAGCACTTTGGGAGGCCAAGGCAGGTGGATCACTTGAGTCCAGGAGTTCAACACCAGCCTGGGCAACATTGTAAAACCCCATCTCTACTAAAAATACAAAAATTAGCTGGGCGTGCTAATGCCTGTAGTCCTAGCTACTTGGGGGTGCTGAGGTGGGAGGATCACTTGAGCCTGGGAAGTTGGGGCTGCAGTGAGATGAGATCGCATCACTGTACTCCAGCCTTGGAAACAGAGTGAGACCCTGTCAAAAAAAGAAAAAGGACAATCTAAAAGCAAACTGGATTCACCTTTATAAAATCACAGATGATGACTCAGATGGTCCTCAACTCCTTTCTTTATCTCTAAATCGGATCACACAGAAATGTGAGAACCTAGCTTAGAATTAAAACCTATACAATACCTGACATTTCTTATTAATTTATTATTATTATTAATATTGTAAGTGAGGAAGAATGATAGAATTTGGTGATAGCATGAAAAATGATCTCTTTGTATAATGTTATTCCTGGTGCCTGGAGAAAACTTTAGCATTGATTTAATACTTCCTTATGTCTGCTGAAAGCCCCACTTTAATCTTTGGGATTTTCAAAAGGAATATTTTTGTAACAGAAACCATACTCACCCAGAAATGTGCAAGTACATTAACTTCAAAAGTCTTTTCAATCTGAGCATCTTGTGTAGCAAATAAATCTGATGTATAGACCACACCAGCATTATTTACTAAAATACTAACATCTCCAATTTCTGCCTTCACCTTTAAAAAATAAAATAAGAAAAGTAAATTAATTAAGAGGTATGAGGGTAAGTTTATACACAATGGCTTTTTTTTTTTTTAAGACAGATTCCTGCTCTGTTGCCCAGGGTGCAGTATAGTGGCCAAAATCTTGGCTCACTGCAACCTCCACCTCCCGGGTTCAAGCAGTTCTCCTGCCTCAGTCTCTGGAATAGCAGGAACTGAAGGTGCATACCACCACGCCACACCTGGCTAATTTTCGTATTTTTAGTAGAGACTGGATTTCACCGTGTTGGCTAGGCTAGTCTCGAACTCCTGATCTCAAGTGATCTGCCCGCCTTAGCCTCCCAAAGTGCTGGGATAACAGGCATCAGTCACCATTCCTGGTCTTGTATGCAATGACTATTAAAGGAGTATGTATTTTTCTGCTAGATCTGGATAAAAGTGATTTTGTAATCCATGTGTCAACAGGGGAAAAAATTCTTTTTATTTTACGCACTTATGTCCAAAATAGATATATCTTCAAGTGTATCAGGTGGAAATTTTCTTTTGCAATTTAGTCTCTTGACTTTGTTCTACTGACTATAGCTCAAGAGGCATTTGGCTAAGTAGCATTTTTTTTAAAAACATTACTTCAAAAGGTAAGCAAAAAAAGTTAAATTAGGCCGAGTGTGGTGGCTCACGCCTGTAATCCCAGCACTTTGGGAGGCTGAGGC